CCCGATGCGGGGCTCGATCCCAGGACCCTGGGATCATGACCTGAGCCGAAGGCAGATGCTTAACGACTGAGCCACCCAGGCGCCCCAAGAGAACAGTTATTGATTAATGTTTTAAGTTTCTGTTTGGGATGATGACAACCTTCTGGAAATACATAATGGTGCTGGTTACACAACACTGTGAATGTACTTAATGGGACTAAACTAAAAACTTAAAAATGGCTAAAATGGTGAAATTTTATATTATATTATGTATATTTTACCACACTCACACCCACACATACACACACAGTTAAACAGAAAAGCACAGAAACACAAAGATCCAAACGTGAGCACTGGGGTGAGCACTTGGAGGACTAGAAAAGGAGCAAAGGTGTTAAATGGGAAAACAAGTGACCACGGGATGCAAGAGGCACTCAAAATAAAGATATCAGTGGGGATGAAGGAACTGTGTTATAAGGAATAATATTTACCATTAAATTATGCAGTGGAAGAGAGACATTTATTTAACTCAAGCTAGCTGTATTAGTAGGTGGGTATGGGACTGGGGCCAAAAGCAGACTGAAAACAAAACAAGAAAGAATAGGATGGGCAGGAGATAATGAGATAAATCTTGGCCATATGCCTGAAGTATCTGTGGAACATGCAGGTGGTGATATTTAGTTGGAGATTGGATATGGTTCTGACAGAGTTTCAGGTTTAAAATTATGTGAGCTTCATTAGACTAGTGGTAGATTGTGAATAGGAACAGGAGACTAAAGAGAAGAGAACCAATAAAAAATCTGGAGGACACTAGTATTTAAGACGTCCAGATACAAAGATGAATTTTCTTTTTTTTTTTTTAAGATTTTATTTATTTATTTAGAGAGCATGCACATGTGAGTGGGGTGGGGGAGGGAGGCATAGGGGGAGAGGGAGAGAGAGAATCCCAAGGAGACTCGGACAAGGGGCTCAATCCCATAACACTGAGATCATGCTCTAAGCCGAAACCAAGAGTCGAATGCTTAACCGACTGAGCTACCCAGGTGCCCCTAAAGATGAATTTTCTGAAAGAACCAAGAGAGAGTAACGACTTTGAAACCAAGAACAGAATATTTCAAGAGTTAAACTTGTAATTCAGTATGGTGATCTAAGCATATATATTTACTTCTCCTGCATCCAAATATAAAAGGATAAGAAATTTATTTAGTTTTTTTATTTTTCTTTTAAAGATTTATTTATTTGACAGAGAGAGAGATAGTGAGAGCAAGAACACAAGCAGGGGGAGTGGGAGAGAAAGAAGCAGGCTTCCTGCCGAGCAGGGAGCCCAATGCGGGGCTCGATCCCAGGACCCTGGGATCATGACCCGAGCCGAAGGCAGACGCTTAACGACTGAGCCACCAGGCTCCCCATTATAAGAAATTTAAACATAGGAACACCATTAGCATAATGGGGGAGTGTTATTGGCAAGCCACAGATTTTTAGGAATTGTTAGCAGCTATGAGCAAAACTGAAGGATCAGACAGGAGAAAAGTAAGATTCTCAGCATAGCTCTATTCTCAAAGCCTCAAGACAAGACTCCTTGCCACTTATTAATAGCAATATATCAATTCCATCTCCCTCTTGACTGTTTTTATTTAAACAAGACAAGTTCATGCAGTAATATGTTCTCATTTGAGGAAACGCTTTTTTTGTCCCAACTCTGCCTCTGGGAGAAGAAAGATGTTCAACGATATACCCACTTAATGTGTGAACACTGGTTAAAATTAGAAGGAGCATTTGTGGAAGGAAAAGACTTATCTGGCCAATATGGGAAGAAATGAGGACCACTTCTCTGTAGGGGATGATAGGCAGGAGGATTTAGTGCAAGAAAGACAAATGCTCAAATATCCATTAAAAAAAAAAAAAGATGATTTTGGAAAGGAAAGAGAAATCATCACCTCACCTGAGCCATGGTTTTGAGATCTGCAAGAGGTGACCAGTCTTCCTTTGGGTTCCTCTTTGGAAAAGAGGCAGTTCCTATGAAGGCAAAGCTGAGATGAAATGAAGCCACATGACACTATACATGCCTTACAGCTCTCTTGTGACTTAGGACTCAATTGAAATTGCCTCCATTTCCCTTACTTTGGCTCTTGACCACTCTGCACATTCCACATCATTTATGGGGGGAGAATGAGCTAGACAGATCTTATTTTATCCCCAAATCCAGAGATACAGGCTCTTGGGCAACAGGTTAGATTTTGGGCAAGTCCCCCTTCTTTCTAGCACCATCTTTTCTCTCTTAGTAGCCGACCTCCAAGCTGCTCTCCATAAGGCTCTACCATTTATACTATCACCAACGATATATGAGAATACCTGTCACCCCACACCCTGACAAATGCGGATATAAACTTCTAGATGCTTGCCTATCTAATAGGTAGAAATTGTAGTTCTAGCTTTTATTTTTCTTTTTTTTATTTAAAGATTTTATTTGACAGAGAGAGAGACAGCGAGAGAGGGAACACAAGCAGGGGGAGTGGGAAAGGGAGAAGCAGGCTTCCCGCTGAACAGGAAGCCCGATGCGGGGCTCAATCCCAAGACCCTGAGATCATGACCTGAGCCAAAGGCAGTCGCTTAACCAACTGAGCCACCCAGGCGCCCCTATTTTTTTTATTATGACAGAAAATAAGCTTCTTTCCATAAGTTTAAAAAACATCCTTAGTTTCTCATGTGAATGGTCTCTTATAATTCTTTCATTTCTCTATCATATTTTTATTTTCTAGATCGGTTATTAGATCTTTTTAAAAGGAAGGAAATATCGTATTCTTTTTTTAAAAAATATTTTTATTTATTTATTTGATAGAGCACAAGCAGGGGGAGCAGCAGGCAGAGGGAGAGGGAGAAGCAGGCTCTGCAGGAAGCCCGATGTGTGAGCCCAGGATCCTGGGATCACGACCTGAGCCGAAGGCAGACCCTTAACCAACTGAGCAACCCAGGCGCCCCGGAAATATTGCATTCACTTAAAATAATTTTTTATAGTTTCTCAATTGTCTTTGTTTTTCCCATGCAAAAATAACTTATAACAGATTATTGACCATCTGGTTTAGTACCGTTAGGTGTTCAATAACATTATTTCCTCCCTTCATCAAAACTGACATCATGTACTTTATTTCCTTTATATATTTGAGTAGATTTGGAGTTTATATTTAGTTTCACTAATCTATTCATTTAATTGTCTGGATGACTCTTCAGTTACTACAGTTTTCAAACATATTTTAGTATCAGGTTTGGGCTATTTCCCCCTTCATTATTTTCTTTCAGAATTTTTGGCTTGTTCATATTCTCCTAAGAATTTTAGAAAGTTCAAAAATTTTACTGAAATTTTAATGGAACTGCACGATGTTAGGGAGTTTTAACACTTTATTACTTTGTGTCTTCCTGTTCTTTTATTCAAGTCTGACTTTTTGAGTCCCTTAGGAACACTCTTTTTTCATGGATTACAAAATCCTTTGTATCTCATATTTTTGATGGCCACTGGCCATTTTCCATAGTTTTCTGATACATATATATACATACATATAAACACACATAGAAAGCCTATTGATTTGTCAATGTTTTTTCCAACAAACCTCTGAGTTTTCTAATTGTTGTTATTGTTTTTAACAGCATGGTAACTTAGAAATTTTTCTCTCAGTCTCAGCAGACATCCCAAAGCTGGTGAGCAAAACAAGCTTCTAAGTGTCCCTAATTCTAAAATAAAATCTTGTAAAAAACGTAAGGTTTGCTATCATTAATTTAACCCCAACTTTAAGAGGCTGGAGAGGCTGAGAGAAGGAAATGTCTAGGAGAGTAAAAATCGTTTTTAGGGCATAGTTTTCCAGGGGAAGAAAACAAGGGGCCCCTCAGAGGCTGATGCCACTGGAAACCAAAGTGGTGAGAGAATTTTGGGGGAAATGTACATATTTCCAGGATTTGAGAGGGCAAAGTGACTGAGAGGGCTAATTCTCACCTGAGCTCTAGATGGCAACCCATGGATGGAGCCTGCCTGGGTTGACTTGGATCCTCTTGTCCAAGAGGACTCACTGGAGAGACAACAAGACCCACCAGAGCAGGTGGACTACTGCATGCTCAGAGAAAACACTGAGGAGACAGCTAGAGAAGTGGCTGCACCCATGAGAAGGGAAGTGTATCTGGAAGTTCCCAGCAGTGGGTTCTCTCAGAAGGTTAAGAGATGACTTACACTAAATTATAACGGTACCAATTATGTTAGTCTTTTCTTGTCCCTGACTTCTGACTTGTCTCCTGTTTTCCAGCTCCCAATCCATTCCAGCTAGAGACTACCCACCTAGAGGGGATAAGGAGGAGACAAAATAGAGGTTGAGGAATTAAAGAAGAAACTGATCATGTACTCTTTTCCCTGGCAGGCTTCCAGCGGGAGGGAGAGTTTTTACTTTTAAAACAAGTCTATAGAAACTCTTATTTAAATAGCTATTAGATGATGAGACTAATCTTATATTTGAATGTTCAACAGATTCAGTCTTCAGAATGACTGAAGAAATTACTGAATCTGTCTAGGAATGCATCCAGCAGCAGGGAAATAAAGAGATTCACCCAAATAGAAACTTTGAGTGGCAATTATGAGAGAAATTTTTTATGTGTGTCTTCCCAAATGGTGTTCTACTCATTTGAACATACAAGTTATTAGTCAGTGTGGGGTTTCCCAATATACAATCCTACCATCTGAAAATTATTTTTATTTTACTTCCTTTTCTCCATAAAAAAAAAAATCTCTATTTCACTTGTCTAATTGCCACAGGGTCAAATTTTACAAGCGTATAAAAAGGCCAATATTCAGATAACCTAAATACATATTTAACTGGTCATGCATCCAATTTCTCAAGCGCTCCAACTCAGTCACACAATAAACAATATTCATGAATTACCGCGGACTGTGCACACAAAACACTTTAAAAATTAGACAAAGACACAATTATATCACCCACGACACAATCACAATCCCATAACACACGTCATGCTAATCTCACAGAGCCTATAACAGACTTCCATACAAAGTAGCAAAATTTTACTCACAAACCCTTTACTGTCGTTTCTCCAAAGTCGCATGCAGTCTCAAACACAAATCGACTCGTTACCTATTTTAAAAATTAGACACACACGGAGACCTTATCACTTTCACAAACAACCGGTTCCACAACGTCACCCGGAGTAACACATGCCCAGACTACACAAGGACAGCCACAAAAAGCTACACGAACTGAACGCCCGTGTGTGCCAGGCCGCACTCCTAGACTTGGAGTTTCCTTACGGGGGAGAAAAAAACAGACAAAATTCCTGCCCTCCCCATCCTCACACCAGCCCCGGGCTTCCAGTTCCCTTTTCAGCGCTGTCCAGCCTGGACTACCAGTTGCCTCTACGGCGCTCCCCGGCCCGGGCTCCCTATTCCCTCCTCGGCGTTCCTCGGCCCTGGATCCTGGTTCCTTCTTTTACTTAGGTTCTCGCTTCCCTCCTCGCTCTCTGTAGGGCCCAGACTCTCGCCTTCCTCCCCGGCCTTCTTGGCCCAGGTTCCTTCTTCCTTCCTCGCTTTTCCCAGCCCAGGTTCCCGCCTCCCTCCTCGGCATTCCCCACGGCTCCCGCCATCACCCGCCTCCTCCGCCTCCCTAAGACCCACCAGCCTCACCTTCGACCACTGGCCAGCCGTCTGCGCCTGCGTACTCCCGCGCGGGCTGTACCTCCCAAGTGTCTCCGCGGCTCGGTGTTTCAGGCCGTGGGCTCCGCGCGCGCGCGCGCGCCTTCTCGACATACGGGCTTTTCCGCCCTTGAACTACATTTCCCACAGCCCCTGTGCAGCTTTTGGAAAAGAACTTTGATTCCTGGGTTCTCTCTGGTTATCGCCCGAAACCCTGAAAGTCGTCGCGTTCCGAGTGGCAACCGTCGCGCACGGTGAGGAAGCCCATCGCCCCCACAGTGCTGACAGGGTGTGTGGAGCCCGGGGCTTAAGCCTGTGTATGCGCGTTTGTGGTCGTGACGAAGCCGAGTGCGAGTATGTGCGGTAATGTGGCTGTGACAGGTGTGTGATTTGCGTGTGTGTCCCGAATCGGATGCAGGACATTGTAGCTGACCAGTCGGCTGGAATGTGAGGCATGTGACACTGTGGGGTTTGAGACTGCCCATCATAAGATAGTGCCTAGTTGTTACCTAGTGTGATGGAAAAGGCTTTTAATTCTCTGACCGGTACGAGTTTGGTTGTGTAATGAGATAGAGCTTCATGTCTTCAGTTCTGGGTTTAACGTCGGGACTGAGGGGTCTGTTGAAGACTTCTCTGAAAGTATATCTGTGCTTGTGAAGACTGCAATGCCTATGTTAACTCAAGTCGCGCTGCACCGAAGCATGGCCTGAGCTGCCTTGTCAGGGCACCCCCACCTCCAGTGCCTAGCTTCGTGCTTAACACAGTGGGGGGTATCAGTGAAGATGATGTTGCCCATCTAGGGGCCAATTTTAGGTTCTGTCCTTTCTTAGGATTTGCATATGCCTGGGTTCCCTGCAACTTCCTTTTTTTCTCCTGCTTTAGAGCCATGGACCCCAGCTGCAGAGAAAAGGTCACCAAAAGGGAGTCAGATATTTGAGTGGTAGTATAAAGGTTACATACAAGCAAAAAAGCACACACCTGTTTTTGGAATGAATTTTAGAATTGGAAGAGTCCCAGGAAGACATTTGGAAGAGTCCTAGGAGTAGGATTCCTTCCTCAGAGGATCTCCCTTGGGAGCTGAGGTCAAGTTCCATGTTTCAGAACCACATCATTCCCAAAGCTGTCTCCCCAGGAAACTTGCTGTGAACTTAGAGAAAGTCTCAGCCTTGGATGTCCGTGACCCTGGCTTTTTCCTTTGATACTAAAGAGGATTAGCAGTACTCCCCATCTCCCTTTTATTTCTGTCCGTGTGTGATAGATGGCAAGAGGCTGTGTGGTGTTGAAGAACTTCCTCCGATTTCACTAGTCTGTGCTCCAAGAAAGGTCTGGTGTCTGATGATTCCCTCCCCTTCCCCTGCAGTGCTCTTCTCTGAGTGAAGAGCGCAGATAAAAGAAAACATTACTGGGCATATATGAAACCAAGCTCAAGGTTGGGGGTTTTGTTGCCCTTGTTCTCTTTGTTTTTGTTTTTCAGAAAAGTTCTTCTGTGAAATGGTTAGGTTACTATTAGGCAGGGCCTTGTGATGTACTTTGACTAATAGCATGTGGTGGAAGTGATGTTGTAAGACTTTCAAGACAAAGCCTTAGGAGGTCTTGCAGCTTTTGCCCTTTTCCTCTTCCTGCCCTGAGACCACTTCAAACTGAAGGTTATGACTAGCTTGCTTAAAGACAAAAGATCACCTGGAGACAGAAACCCAGCTGACATTCAGCAATAGCTGCCAGATATTTCATTGAGACCATATTAGACCATCCAGCCCCCACCAAGCCACTGGCTGCTATAAGTGGAATTAGTAGAACCGCTCAGCCAAGCCAAGCCAAATTTGCCAACCCCAGAATAATGAGCTAATGAATGTTTTTTGTTTTAAGCCACAAACTTTGGGGATGGTTACATAACAATAGATAACTGAAACAGGTGTTTAACTTTCTAGACTTTTTTAAAATCTATCACTCCATATTGATATAATTGTATTGGTTAACCTGTTTTGTAAAGTGATTTCTCTACTGGTATTATATCTTGAAATTTTTCTATATCCTTAATTACTTCCTACAGCTTTGCATTTGTTTATCTTGGTATTCTTTTACGTGGATATTTTATAATTTATTTAACTATTAACTTTGCTGAGCAACTCCTTCTTACTGTCCAGCTCCCATGTCTTCACCAACTTTACATTCCCTTCCAGAACCTTAGCAGGACATGGTTCCTGTCATTTCATGGGTATGTAGACTTAGGAATGTGATATTGACTTCTGCTGAGTGGAATATAGATGACTCAACCCACTTAGAGGAATTTGTTCAAGGGTGTGATACAGGTTCTATATACATTTATTTAACTAATCAACTGAGTCTCCATGATTACAATATCTTTTTCCCCCTTTCCAATTCAAAATCTGCATTGTGGAGCCATCTTACTTCCTTCATTGTGACTTGTTAGGGTACTTAGCTAATTTTCTGAAGGACTGATTTAAGATTCCTGGAGGTAGAAATGGACATCTCTGCTGTGTTTTCTAAAGTGTCATCATCCCGATCCTTCAGATTACTTTAACTTCCTTTTCTGCCTAATCATCAAAGGAACGGTCTGAATTTCTGCATAGCCACATCAGGCCTAAGTCCCATTTCTTCTCCTACATGCAGGGTTTAGTATTAATTAATTTCCAAGGCAGATGTGATTTCCTTGTTGGAGCAATGGCTGGTGGAGAGACTGGCAATAAGAGATCTGAGCCGAGGTAACTGAGGGGCAACCAGCAAGAGGTATCCATTGTGTATTAAAATCCTAGGTTTTGTACTATACCTTGGCTAACTGAATTTAAATTAAAAAAAAATCTTAAGTGGGGGCGCCTGGGTGGCTCAGTCGTTAAGCGTCTGCCTTCGGCTCAGGTCGTGATCCCAGGGTCCTGGGATCGAGCCCC